AAGAAAGGGGGGGCCCCCCCCCCCGCCTCTCCTATTAGCCCTTTTCTAATTAGTTTTAACAGGCTTCCTCCTATTACTTCCTTGGCTTCCTCCTATTCCTGCTCTGCCTCCGAGACCAAGCACCTGGCAACGCGCAGCCTCCAGACGATATCGTGCCACGGGTGGCCACGAGCTGGGTGCGTCAGAGGGACCCCAGGGCTCGGAGCCCATCAGCACACGGCGTCGGACCCCTGGGAGCGCATCTCCGCACACCCGAACAAGCGGTCGCCGGACAGGTGGCGGGAGCAAGGGGTTTTGCTGGCGTTAGCGTTACTATTCTGCACAGACCATTAGCTGTGGTTGGAGGTGCATGCGCTTTTGAGGGGCAGGGCGTTTTTAATACTGTGAGAAGAGAGATCGGTATTCAGCGTAGGTCCTACTGAAGCGAGACTCAGGTCTAACTGCAGCACAGAAGAGGGAATGCGAACAGAAGAGAGAGCTTTTGCATTTCCTACCTGTCCACCTTTCACATCGCCTTTGTTTTACCGTGCGAGCGGAAACAGCACCGCAGCGGAGGCAGGTGAAACAGCAGTGGGGCACGCTCACCCGCTCCGCTGTCACGCCGGAGAAGTGAGGAGGCCCGAGGAAGGGAGACGGGAGGGTTCAACAACCCATGCAAGAGCATAACGCAGCGACGTCCTACCCGGCACAGCCTGTGCAGCGACCTCCCAGCGGTCGCAGCTGCACCCGCCTTCGAGCGCTGCACGCGCAGCTCCTTCTTTTGCAGGTTCTCCCACGTGGCATCAGGCCACGGGCAGCCACGTGCTTCCATGCAAAGCAAGACTTTGTCCAGGCCCCTCACAGCCTGCTCAGGGGCCGTCTCTGAATGGTGCTATCGGCAAGGAAAGCTCTGACACAACACAAAGCCTGCCTGTCCAGCACCCATCCAGAGATACCTTTCCATCTGTCCTTCGCCCCACAGAGATGCACTAGGGCTGCCCACCCCATGGTGCCCAAGCGCCCGCTGGCGCTCAGAATTGCACCACTGCACCAAGAGACAAATCCACCTTTGCACCACAACAGCTTTGCCGCCCTCTGCAAGAGGGTTGCACCTCACTGCCCTCCACACCGGGCTTGCGCCATGCCCTCAGGCTGGAGAAAAGGGTCGTGCCCGCCGCCGAGGGGCCCGCAGGCAGCGCGGCAGGGAGCTTGCTGCAGGGCCCATCCGGCCCCGGCGGCGTCGGGATGGGGAGGCGCGAGCAACAAAGCCGCTTTGCATTTAAGCGCCAACCGCACGGAGCTGGAGCGGGTGCATTGACTCTGCCCGACTGCATGAGAGCTCAGCAGCTTTAATTCCATGCTAATGAAGTTTTAGCAGGGAATTATTTTTATTGATCTGCCCAGAGCAGAGCGCCTGATTTTAGCCGAGCTCTGCCACCACCCCTTCCCCGCTCCCGACCCACCTTTTCTTTCTTCCAGCTTAAAAGAAGAAAGGGGAAGAGAAGAGAAGACGACAAAACAGCTCTGAGCTCCTTAAAAAGGTTGGCAGTCCCAAGCAGTAAGTGGATTACTTTATTGATTTTTAGCAGATCTGGGTTAGCGAGTGCTTAGTGCTGCGGAGCACACGCACACGTGAGCGGCTCCAAGGAAACCCCTCCAGGCCCTCTCCTCAAGCAAAGGAAGTGTCAAGCAATTCATTTAGGGGACCAACAGGGGTTTTGGGGAGGGGAGATGCTCTGTCCCCTGTACCAAATCCAATGGCAACAGACACCAGGACTCCAGCCTGTCTTAAGCCCTCCAGGACCATACAGAGAGAGAGCCCCTTAACTTCCGGTAGAAATAACATGAGCCACTGCTTCAGATTCATGAAAGCTTTCTATTCCTCGCCTCCGTTACAGAAAAGAGGAAGACTTTATAACTACCATTGTCATTGTAGGAAGGAAAACCACTGCCACACTGCTCCCAGCTGGGCCCATGAGCCATGCTGCAACCAAACCCTGGGGCATCAGTCGGGGCAGGACTTCTGACAAAGCAGCGCTGATTTACACTGGGGCCGCTGTCTTGCTCCGTTCCCCAAATTTCCACCTCTGATGGCAGAAACCAAATTTCCAACGTCTTGACAGTATGTTGGAATAGCCCAAATCCCAAAGACTTCCCAGGCACTTTCCACCAAGCCTTTTGAGATGCTGTCTCCAGGGCCAAACCCTGAACGCATGAAGACCCAAACTGGAATACTCTTATCCTACACAATCCCTATTCCTTTCATGCTGGATTGAACTACAAAAATGCCACATGTTCCCAAGAATCTCGTCAGTGCCCC